TCGTCGATATTTATTTTCTTAAAAATCAAGAATCGTTGCTTTTTATGTAGGCCTCAAATACTGGACTTTTTATAAACGCAGAAAAAATTGAGTTTTTAAATAACATTTTTTAAAAATGAACAGAAAAAAAATTTGGAGTTGTAAAGAATATTTTTGAAAGTTAAACAAACCAATTTTTTTTTTTTTTTTTGATTTTTTGAAGAATATGTTGTTAAGGATAAAAGGACCAAAAGTCGTAGATTTTTTTAATTTTTTTTCAAAAACAGCCGTTTTTTTCAAACTTTGTTACCGTGTATGAAAAAATTAAACCCTCCATTTAAACTCTAAAATGCACGATTTTGCTCCTGCTCAAATCTCATTCATATAGAATGAAATACCTTGTTCTCAGCAATTTAATATCTGTGGCTTTTCCGTTTTTTAGCTTTTTTATTTTTCCCCAGTCCTATACGGCTATTATGAACTAACCATTCCGACCATTAAATAACAGGACGTAACATTTTGGTCCCGTTTTTTTTTTTTTTTTTTTTTTGTTTTTTTTTGCCTTCTGTTCTTTTATTATTTTCCTTTTCACAAATATCAACAAAGCGAAACACAACAATATTTCTTTCAACATCCGCCAGCCAGCCACTCAGTTAAATAAATGAAAATTTATTATTCGCATCCTGACACATTCATTTGGGTAGCAGCAGCAGCAATGTAAAGGAAGTTGGCCACCGTTACAAAAGTCAAACGCAGGACCAAATAGCCATACAAAAATAACAAAAAAAAAATTATGTTCAGTTACCCATCGTTGAAGTGGAGTGAAATATTGCATAAATTGACGTTGGACTGTCAGTTTGACCATTAACAAATCATATTTTGAAAGATATTTCAATCAATTAGGTATCTTCATGTTTCAGCAAGTTGAAAAAGGTCATAAATTGTATAAATGTGTGAAATCAAGGCAGAGATGGGTAATGCATTAATGATTGAATTTTTCTTAATGAAACAACAATAAAAAAGTCTTCTATAAAAAATCCTTTAAAAATTAAAAACAATTTTTTTTAATTAAAAAGAGTGTTATTTAAACAATTCGCGATTTTTAGTCCTGCGATAAATATTCTTTAAAAATTTACAATTATTAGTCGTAGAAAAGTTATAAAAAACCATTATATTAAAACATTACAATAAAAAGTCCATTGAAAAATTTCTTTAAAAACACCCTTATTGATCTTTGTAATAATTTTCTTTGAAAACTACATCGATTTTGAGTCTTAAAAATTCGTAAAAAAATATATATTCATCAAGAAATCTTTGCAGAACAAAGAATGATTTAAAAAAAAAATAAATACTTTATTTGTTAGCCCTTGATAGAATTTTCCTTAAAAATCACAATTACCGATCCTTAAAAAATATTCTTTAAAAAATCCTCTATTATTAATAATTATATTTTTCAAAAAAAAAACAGAACTATTGGTCCATGAAAAAATCTTAACAAGTAGCCCAATATATACACAATTATTGGTCTTAAAAATAAATTTATATAAAAATAAATTCTATTATTGATCCTTCTTTAAAAAAGTACTAAGATTTTGAGTCTTAAAAATTCTTAAAAAAATATATATATATTCATCAAGAAATCTTTGCAGAACAAAGAATAATTTTTTTGAAAAAATTTAAATATTTTCTTTGTTAGCCCTTGATAGAATTTTCTTTAAAAATCACAATTACTGATCCTTAAAAAATGTTCTTTAACAAATCCTCTATTATAAATAATTATATTTTTCAAAAAAAAAAAAAAAAAAACTATTGGTCCATGAAAAAAATCTGAACAAGTAGCCCAATATGTACACAATTATTGGTCTTAAAAAAATAAAAATAAATTCTATTATTGATCCTTCTTTAAAAAAAATACTAAGATTTTGAGTCTTAAAAATTTCTAAAAGATTACTCATTAAGAAATCTTTTCAGAATATTCTATAAACAAAAAAAAAATTATTTTATAAAAAAAACTTTTTGAATTTTTTTAAAACATCCACAATATTAATTTATATTTATTAGCCTTCGATAAAATTTTCTTAAAAAAATACGATTTCTGGTTCTTAAAAAAATATTTTTTCAATAAGTCCACACAATTTAGTATTTGAAAAATATTCCTTAAAAAATTCACAATTATTGGTGCTGGAAAAAACTTTTGTTCAACAAAATCCCAAACTATTCTTCCTTGAAATTCAGGATAAATGATTCTTAAAAAGTATTCTCGAACAAATCCACTATTATTGATCCTTAACAAATATTTTTTGTAAAAAAATGCAGAACTATAGGTCCTTGAAAAAATATTGCTAAGTAGCCCAATGTATCCACAATTATTGGTCCCTCAAAAATGTTTTCTTAAGTCAGCAATTGTTGGTCCTTAATATATTTTGTAAACAATCCCCTTTTGGTCCTTGAAAAATATTAAAAAAAAACACAATTCAAAAAATATTTTAAAAAACAGCAAATTTTCGATTATTTAAATATATGTTGACCTCTGTTTTGATTATTCAAATTGTTGACCCCCTCTTGAGTAGGTTCCGAAGGAATAGGCCAATACTGTCCGTTTCGTATCGGACCTAAATAAATACGATATAAATATTGCGACGAGCCAGGTTTGGACTATATCGTCTACTTCCATTACTTTATCTAAGATATGAGATAATTTTTAGAAAAGGATAAAATGTGGGTAAGGTACCAGCTATATTAGACCGAAGTATTTCATTATATTATTGGTATGGACAAAATTACAAAAAAATCGAACATTTATATGGAATTTTAAATTTATATGGAAACATAAATTCCATCTCATCATTCTATCATCTCAGGTTTCTGGTCGAGAGAAATATTTAAGTATAGCAGGTTGCAAAGAATCGCTAGCTGGTTTTGCAGGTAATGACAGATACAAGTATTGTGACCCTATGTGGGTGAGGTACAGATCTTGTGTTGTATGCGTGAAATTAGAGCGTTTTGCTTCTTGAACCTAATGTGTGGGAGGTACCAGAAGAAATGTTCTGATCTCCACCATCTTTATAACAAATCTTGTGTTGATGGAAATATTGAGATGTGCCAAGTCTGAATGGAATCGGATGTTATTTTCGTGTTTTATGAGCTTCATGAATATTCAAAATTTTGACCCTTTGTAGGGGAGCACCAGAAGGAGTGATACGCAGGGCGAGATAAAAAATCTGCAAAAAATCAAACGCCATAGTTTTTAATTTTTTTTTTAATTTTATTGAATGAAAGCAAAAAAATTTCGAAATAGCATCAAATTTTAGAATAAGTTCAGATTTGTTCGAATTGGTCACTTTGGCATGAATTATGGCCTTCAAACGGCCAATGAAACTGTCACACGCTGCCCGAAGCGCTTGCTTGAAGTGATCGACACTTTGGTATTTTTTAGTGCCTACCTTGCTTTCTAAAATACTCCAGACGCAATAGTCCAACAGATTTGTATCCGGAGTTTTTGGTGGCCTGGAAATGAAGCGAGGAACCTCATTGTGTAACCATTCTTGGGTGACGCGTGCTCAGTCCTGTTGGAATGTCCAAGGTCTGCAGCCAAAATGTTTGCGTACCCAAGGCTTTAATACACCCTCCAGAATATTTTCGCAATAATATTCGGCATTTATTCTGATGCCACGGTCGATTAATACGAGCGGAGAGCAACCATCGGCTGTTATGGTGGTCACACCATCACCATGGCGGGCTTGAGACTTGAGTTCTGGTGGCCAACCGAAGGTACACATTTTCAGCTGACCTCTTTGGCAAGTAAACACGACCACTTTGTTTGTTTAGAAACTGCTGGACAAGGAATGTTTTCTCACCGAAGAAAAATTCGGCAATTAAACACTTTCGGCCAAGCGAAGCAACTCTTTAGCTCTTTTGAGTCTATTTTCTTTCTGTTGCGGTGTAAGTTCTTGCACTTTTTGGAATTTCAATGACTTTACCCCGAGCTCATTTTTCAATATTTGCTGACTGGAATACTGCGATATATGCAGCTCACGAGCCATTTTTCGGCCACATGCGACGCGGGTTTCGATCAAGTGGCTTCTTTACTTTTCGAACCATTTCTACTGATGTTGCTGTTTTCTTCCACTTTTCGTCCACTTCCTTGACGTCGGCTACGCTACCAGTATCAAGGTAACGAGCGATGGTACGAGACACAAAAGATTTATTTACATTTAAATGCTGGAATGCTCTTACGATAGCGGCTTATGGTTTTCCAGCCAAATATAAAGAAATCGCACTATCACGCTTGAATTCCATCACGAATAACTTTTTTTTCTAGAAAATTCTCAACAAAATGCTTTGGTACGGTTGTAAACAACATAATGAGCTTAGAAATGACAGCAGTCTGAAGTTGGTTGCAGTTTTTTCATCTCACCGTGTATATATCCTATCTAGCTATTGGCTTTGGGTAAAATAATCCTCTATTATTGTTCCTAAAAATTATAAGTATTACTCCTTGAACAAATGAAAGATTCAATGTAATGTGAATAAAATTTTTCTTTAGAATAATATATTAAAAATAAATTATAAAATCTATGGCGCAAGCTGTATTTTCCAGCAACAATTTAGAGAGTCATATTTTGATGTTGACTTCGACACCTATTCTCCGTGGACAATTGAGAGCAATCAGCTTCTGCGAAAACCCAGAAATAGCCAAAGGAAAATATTTTCAATTGCAATTCTTGGAAATCAAATTCGGGCAATGAAAAAAAAAACAGAGAACAATACAAAATCAAACTGAATTTTAAAATTGAGCTACGTTTCAAATAATCGAATTTTGTATTGAATTTCATTTCATTTTTAATTAACGGCCCTGCAACAATATTTGTTGCCAGGTTCACCTATTGCTTTTTCCACTTTGATTCAACCTTGTGTGTATGTCTACTATTTCAAGAATAACAAAAACAGAAAATTTGATTTCTTTCCTTTTCTTTTTCTCTCTCTTTCATATTCGTCAAATTTGTGCTATGCCATCGAAGGACATTGATTACGATGGATTTCGGCGATTTCTGGATGCCTTCCTCGATTGTGAAACCCCCACAGAATTGGCCCAGCATTTGTTTGTGTCGTTCCTTAAGGCCAACGTTAACAACATCCATTTGCAGGGCAAGACACTCAATCAGATGGCGGCCATTAGCAGTACGGCGGCCTGTGCTCCCGTTACGGCCCACACAAAAGGTAATCACAAATAAAAAAAAAAGTAATAAAGAAATATCCTTGAGCCTGGGAGGTGGAAAGACAAAACCATTCTTGAGGGACATAACACTTGAAATTTTCCTAGTAAAAATCATAAGTTTCAACTGAATTTTTATGAAATCTTAAAAATACCTAGAATGGAAAAATACGTAAATTTCAAATGTTATGACCCTCACACAAACATATCCTGTAACAAAAGGATCATTACACCTAATTTCTGGGTCATTTTGCCAACATCAATTTTCTAACCCCACTCACTTTATTTCACTCTCTCTCGATATCCCCAGGCTCCATACCCAATATAAATAGCATCGTTGAAATCGGAACCTCAGCAACACCACCGGCAACAGAAACACGCACCAGTTTCGTGGATAAATTACACCATGGCATTACCGATAAACTCCATTCATTAAGTGGTCATTTAACACATGACGCCAGTAAGACAGGTAAGAATTGCATTATTCTCCCTCCCCCCGTCATTCCCCTCGTTACTCCTCTTTTCACAGCGGTTGCCATACGGCAAATATATGATGGAAATACCATGCCAAAGAGAATGTCACTTAATTTTAAACGTTTAAAGGAGCTTAATTAACGGAATTTTCTCGATATGGATACAGTGGTTTGAGGGGGGTATGAAAGTTCTTTAAAGAAAAATCGGGAAAATACCCACGTAAATGGCTCTAGAATTAATGGAAAATGCCTTTAAAAATATATGTTTTTTCTAAGTTGAAGGTCCTTGAACAAGTATTCTTAAAATTTACTTTTGCGACTTTCATAGTCCTTGAAAAAATTCATTTAAATGTCCTTGAAAATAATTCTTTAAAATATCCATGTTTAATTATTCATCCGTCCTTGAAAGAAATCAGTGTTCAAGACAGCCTCGAAAAAATGTTTTGTTTAAATCCAGGTATGGGGTTATGAGAGTCCTTAAAAGAACTGCTTGAATGAAATGGCTGTCTTGAACAGCCTCGAAAATTTTTTTTGTTTAAATCCTTAAAAGTACTCATACAAATGGTTTGTAACTCTTATAGTCCTCCAAAATTTACCTTTGCTACTCTCCTTGTCCTAAATAATAACTAATACACTACCATTGACCGCGATAGCCTTTAAGCATCCACGTCCTTTGAAAATATTTTTTAAAAATCAGGATAACAAAAAATTATTAAAGGATAACAAAAAATTATTACAGGGAGAATCCATTAGATTATGAAAGTAGAGTTAAAAAAGTAAAAAAGCAGCTAAGCGCGGCAGGGTCGAACTTTTAATACTCCCCATAATTTTGAAGAAACGTAGAAAAAAAACTCTCAAATTATACCCCTTATATGGGCCTATACGAAAAAATAATTTTTACGAACTTCAATTACGAAATTTGAAGAAAAAAAATCTGGCGAATAATAACACAAAAATCATCAAAATACCAAATATCGGGAGGTGCCGTTATATGAGGGTAATATGAAAACGTGAACCTTCGTGGCCCATTTACTGACTTAAATCGGCTTCTGGCAAAATGCACGTGTGTGCAAAATTTTAGACTTCTTAATCTTAATTCTTAATCTTAATTCTTAATCTTAATTCGTTCGAAAGATAGCATGATTACAATAGACACACAGACTTCGCTCAACCGACTTAGAATTCTACGCTAATCAAGAATATATATATATATATATATATATATATATATATATATATATATATATATATATATATATATATATATATATATATATATATATATATATATATATATATATATATATATATATATATATATATATATATATATATATATATATATATATATATACATTCTAGCATGAGTATTTCGAGGAGTTATAGTATGGTGGAGGTTAAAAGAAGTAATACACCTGTATCGGCGTTTTATAAGCTTACATCGTAAAGTAATCTAAATAGAAATAGCAAGATCGCCCCTCTTCCACACTTTTAGAAATTTTCAGGTTAAGACTCCTCGGAATCCGTTCTTTTTAGGTATATTGTGGTTCCGGTAATACTATAGACAACAGTACGAGGGTTATTTTGGTTAGAAATTTTAAGTAGGAAGCTATTCAACAAAGGACTCTTTTTGTCCCTTTTCTAAAATATGGTTAAATGCTCCTTTTAAACGGAATCGTAGCAAGTCAGAATATTCTGCAAATTTTTTGTCAAAAAAATTCTACTTCTTAATTCTAAATTATGTAGACTTTTGAGGTTCTCTAGGACCTAAAGTCGAATTCCATGACAAATAATTTTGTATAATATTTTAACTTGCTATGATCCCGTTTAAAGGCAGATTTTAACCATATTTTCAAACTGTTTGAAAAAAATCGACGTCATTAAAAATATTCCCGAAAAATCGATGTCTTTTCAAATATTCACAAATTTCCTAAATAATCGACGTTTAAAAAATGTTACAAAAAATCCACTTAATTCATACAATCTTAATTCCTTCAACAATTTAAAAGAAAAACCACCAAGTCCTCAAAATCAGTCCTTTAAAAATATTCTTAAAAAATCAGGTGCAACAAAATACATTCCAGAAAAATCCTATTGCCCCAACATATTTCGAATAAATTCAAGTCCCTAAAAAATTTTAAAAAATTTATCTTATAAAAAATATTCTCAAAAATCGAGGACCTTTTGAGTTCTAAAAATCAGTATTTTTGAAAAATGCGTTCCTGTTAAAAAATATTTTTTAAAAGTCGACAATTATTGGACCTTTGGTCCCTTAAAAAATATCCTTTAAAAATCCAAGATTATTGCCCTTTTGGTGCTTTAAAAACATAATCTTTAAAACTCCACGATTATTGTCCTTGAAAAAATATTTTTTTCGAAAATCCAAGATTATTGGCCTTTTGGTCCTTCTAAAAAAAATATTCTTTAAATATCCAAGATCATTGACCATTTTGGTGGTCCTTTTAAAAAAAAATATTCTTTAAAAATCCTGCCCGACTTTTGATTTTTCCTTACTGGTTATAAATGTGCACATTTCTTTAAGAATCATAAAAATCTTAAAAAATCCACATTCTTATATTCCTGAAATGCAAGTTTGTAGCTCTGATAGTCCTCGAATAAAAACCTTTAAAAATCCACAATTATTTTTCTGCTTGTGCTTATTTTTTTTTTTTTTTTTTTTTTTTTTTTTCAAAAAATTTATATCTTATCTGCTGGTCTTTAAAAGTATCCAAGTCTAAAAATATTCTTTAAAAATCAACGATTATTGGCCTTTTGGTCCTTTTCAAAAAAAAAATTATTCTTTAAAAATAGACGATTATTGGCCTTTTGGCCCTTTAAAAAAATATTCTTTAAAAATCCACAATTTTTGGGCGTTGTGGTCCTTTAAAAAAAAAATATTCTTAAAAATCCAATTTTATTGCACTTTTAGTCCTTTGAAAAAATATTCTTTAAAATTCCACGTTTATGGGCCTTTTGCACTTTTTGAAAAATATTCCTCTAAAATCTACGATCATTGGCCTTTTGGTCCTTTTAAAAAAATATTCTTTAAAAATTCAAGATAATTGGCCGTTTGGTCCTTTCAAAAAAATATTCTTTAAAAAACAAAGATTATTGAAATTTTGGTCTTTTTAAAAAATATTCTTTAAAAATCGTGGATTATTGGCATTTTGTTTTTTAATATTCTTTAAAAATACACGATTATTGGTCTTCTTTTCTTTAAAAATACACGATTATTGGTCCTCTTAAAAACATATTCTATGAAAATTCAGGAGAATTGGCCTTTTGGTCCTTTTAAGAAAATATTCTTTAAAAATCAAAAATTATTGACATTTTGGTCCATTTAAAAAATATTCTTTAAAAATCCAAGATTATTGACATCTTGGCCGTTTTAAAAAAAAATTCTTTAAAAATCATAGATTATTGGAATTTTGGCCCTTTTAAAAAAATATTCTTTAAAAATCGTGGATTATTGGCCTTTTGTTTTTTTTTTTAACAAATATTCTTTAAAAATACACAGTTATTGTCCATTTGGTCCTTTTAAAAACATATTCTATGAAAATTCAGGATAATTGGCCTTTTGGTCCTTTTAAGAAAATATTCTTTAAAAATCCACAATTATTGGACTTTAAAAAAAATATCCTTAAAAAATCCACGGTTATTGGCCTTTTGGTCCTTTTAAAAACATATTCTTTGAAAATTCAGGATAATTGGCCTTTTGGTCCTTTTAAAAACATATTCTATGAAAATTCAGGATAATTGGCCTTTTGGTCCTTTTAAGAAAATATTCTTTAAAAATCCACGATTATTGGAATTTTAAAAAATATGCTTTAAAAATCCACGGTTATGGGCCTTTTGGTCCTTTTTGAAAAAATATTCTTTAAAAATCCGCGATTATTGGACTTTTGGCCCTTAAAAAATATTCCATATAGACTTCAGAACTACTTGCCTCTAGGCCCTCAAAAATCTTCCTAAAAACCCACGATTATTGGTCTGTTGGCTCTTGCAAAAATATTCTTTAAATAAAAACATAAAATTGTTGAGATTTGGTCTATGAAAAGTATTCCTTAAAAAATCCATAATGATTGCATAATATTCTTCTAAAAACCAGCGATTATGTATCTCTTAAGCCTTTGTGGAAATTTCTTTAAAAAATCACGATTATAACTCTTTAAAAAACATATATTTTTTAAAGATTCAGGGCTGTTGGTGTTTGGAAAATTATATTCTTTAAAAAAACCCATAATAAAGGTAACATTTATTATTCTTGAAAAAAGTACTATTTAAGTACTATTAAAATGTTTAGAAGAGAAATCCACCATTACTGCAACGTTTATCCTTGAAATGTCTTTACATAAAAAATCCGATGGAAATTGGCAATTTGTTCCTAAAAATCTATTTAAAAACAATATTGATACTTGAAAATATATTTATTAAAAAGCGATTTTTGGTCTGTTGATCCTTGCAATCATACCTTTTGGGAAGTGCTTTAAAAATTTACGATTTTGATTCTTATTATCCTTGAAAATATTTTCTTTAAAAATCCTTAATTATTGGGCTATTGGTCCTTAATATTATAAATATTTATTTTATTATAAATTTTTATTTATAATAATAAAAAATATTTATTTTTAAGTCCTTAGAGAATATATTTTAGAAAAATCAAAAAAAAATCTGTTATAGTCCAAATTTATAAAGCTCCATAAATATCTCTTAAATATAACCATTCTTACCATAATCGTATCGAATCTCAGCAATGACATCCGTTTGCTAAAATCCATTTAATTTTTGCTGTCGATGTGCTGCTTTTTTGTCCTTAACCTCATGCTGGCTGGCTGGCTCAAACTTCATACCATCTCAAACCACTGTGTTTTTTTTTTTTTTTTTTCAAAAATTGAATAAAATGAAATCTCAATACGAAATTATGAAGCGTGCTAACGAACCAAAAAACGAAAACAAAAAAATACAACAACATAAATCTGAAATCTCAGCCATTGGACATCTTGTGTATTGTTTTCCATGATTTAATTGGCTTAAAGTTTCAACATTTTAATCTCATCTCTTGCTTACATCTCTTTCCATTTTCTTGTTCTTCTTCTTCTTTTTTTCATCCCATTTATATACATATTTGTTACAACAATGTGTGCGTATGGATATCCAATTGCAATGTGAACGTCTGTGCATCTCCACCAACCGTCATCATTATGGTTATCTTCTTCACGTGCTCTGTGTTCGATGTGTGATGGATGGATGGGTGGTGGGTGCGTTGGTGGTGTTTGGTATTGGGGTTCGGTGTTGAATGTAATATCATCATATGATCCTCATCATTGTCATACTCTTGGCCATGCCAACCAAACATTTGCTACTGGCATCGAATGGCACCACCCAACCAACCGAACGACCGACCGTCCGTTCGACCACCATGAATCCGAATGCAGGCAGTGTACATCCAATGGTTACTGTTACACCAAGTCCCATGGCAGCATTTCAAAATACCACAACAACGACAGCCTTGATGAGTTCTGGTGGCGGTGGTGTTGGAGCAGCACCAACTCCGACACCAATGGCAGGCCATGGCAACTCACATAGCAGCGGTAACATGACAACGGGTAATTTTGTTGTCGGCACAGGCCCCGGAAGTGGCCGTGGACCCATAATGATACCCAGTGGAGGCGGTGGTGGCGGAGGTGGTGTTGCTGTTGGCGGGAGACATTCCACCGATTCGAGTCCTTCACATTCACAGGCTGCTGCCGCTGCCAATCATTCGCAAATGTCACGCAACTCTTCGAAAAAAAGTAACAATTCGGTCAATTGCAAAATTGAGGGTAAGTATTTTCGAATTTCAAATGTTTGTTAATTTTGTAGTTTTGTAGTGTGCCAGTGTGCGTGTGTGCATGTATGTGTGTGCGTGTATGTCAATAAAACATTATGCAAACTCTGTACCTAATTAAAAATCGGGAAAATTAGATTTCATTTTTGGAGCAGTGGAAACTATTAAAATGATGTTCATAAAATTGATAACATGAAAAATTAAAAATGAGAGGATGTTCTCTCTGGATACAATATCTATAGGTTCTCTCAAGAGAGAATGTCTTTTAGGCTTATCTATGTACGAAGGAAGTTTTGTAAGTACTCCCCTAATACAAATTTTACCCTTCCACATCTTGCGAGTCTTCAACAAACCGATGTCCACTTAAAGTTTTCTAAAAAAAAAGACGACTCTTCAAGAAGGCATTCCCAAGGACTTCCATTCTTTTAAAAAATCCACTATTACGGGCCTAGAAAAAAATCCATGATAATTGGCCCGATTCTTATACACCACGCCATATGCCTAGCCTATGCCTATGCCAAAACATGCCTCATCGAAATAACGGTATTAGCCCCTGGATCTCTTTGGCCCAAATCCGTTTCAGGACATTTGGAGTCGATCTAGCCATGTTGTCCGTCTGTCTGTTTGCTGTGCACCATAACTCTCGAAGTTTTCAATTTGGTCCAAACTATTAATATTATTATCAAACTTGGATCAAATTTGGAGATGGGAAATATCTGCACACTCCTTTTGGTACCTCCGCCAAAAAATATCAAAATTCCCCCAAAAAAAAAAAAAAAACATTTTACTGCACAGAAGGAGAAATTATAATCCGATTTTGCTCAAACTTTGCAAATCCTAGATAAAAAAACCGCAACAAAGTCAACCGCCATAATTTTTACATTTTTTTTAGATTTGACTGAATGAAGGCAAAAAAATGTCGGAAATAGCATCAAATTTTAGAATAAGTTTAAATTTGTTAGAATTGGTCAACTTTGGTACGAATTATGGCCTACAAACGGCCAATGAAACACTTACACGCTGCCCGAATGTTGCTCTGCGGTATTTTGGCCCATTCCCGGCGAAGCGCTTGCCTGAGGTGATCGACACTTTGGTATATTTTAGTGCCAACCTTGCTTTCCAAAAAATACTCCAGACACAATAGTCCAACGGATTGGTATCCGGGGTTTTTTGTGGCCATTGTGCGCTGGAAATGAAGCAAGGGACCTCATTTTGTAACTATTCTTGGGTGGCGCGTACTGAGTGCGATGGAGCTGAGTCCTGTTGAGTCCTGAGTCCAAGGTCTGCGGCCAAAATGTTTGCGTGCCCAAGGCTATAATACACCCTCCAGAATATTTTCGCAATAATATCGATTAATACGAGTAGAGAACGACCATCGGCTATTATGGCGGCCCACACCATCACCATTGCCGGCGTTTGAGTTCTGATGGCCAACCGAAGGTGCACATTTTCGGCTGACCTCTTTGGCAAGTAAACACGATCATTTTGTTTGGAGAAAACCAAATTCGGCAGTTCACCAGTTTCGGCCAAGCGAAGTAAATCTTTAGCTCTTTTGAGTCTATTTTCCTTCTGCTGTGGTGTAAGTTCGCTCCGAGCTCATTTTTCACACTCCACAATATTTTCGCGATAATATTCGGCATTTATTCTGATGCCACGGTCGATTTATACGAGTAGAGAGCGACTATCGGCTGTTATGGCGGGCAACACCATCACCACTGCCGGCGCTTGAGTTCTGGTGGCCAACCGAAGGTACACATTTTCAGCTGACCTCTTTGGCAAGTAAACACGATCATTTTTTTGGAGAAAACCAAATTCGGTAGTTCACCACTTTCGGCCAAGCGAAGCAACTCTTTAGCTCTTTTGAGTCTATTTTCTTTCTGTCGCTGTGTAAGTTCTTGGACTTTTTGGAATTTCAATGGCTTTACCCTGAGCTCATTTTTTAATATTTGCCGAATGGAATATTGTGATATGTTCAGCTCACGAGCCATTTTTCGGCCACTTCGACGCGGGTTTCGATCAAGTCGCTTCTTTATTTTTCGAACCATTTCTGCTGATGTTGCTGTTTTCTTCCATCCACTTCCTTGACCTCGGGCTACGCTACCAGTATCACGGTAACGAGCGGTGGTACGAGACACAAAAGATTTATTCACATTTAAATGCTGAAGTGTTCTAACGATAGCCACTTGTGGTTTTCCAGCCAAATATAAAGAAATCACACTATCACGCTTCAATTCCATCGCGAATAACTTTTTTTGTGGAAAATGCTCACCAAAATGATTTTGTGCGCTGGTAAACAATATAATGAGCTGTCACTGGAATAATTTTAACAGCTGTCGGACGAGTGGCTTAGAAATGACAGCAGTCTGAAGATGGTTGCAGTTTTTCATCTCACTGTATTAGAGAACTCAAAGGATATGGCACCGGAATAAATATTTTTAAAAGCTAGATGTTAGGAAAATTTCATTGTTAGTCCATTTAGAAAAATCCAGATTTTGGACCTTAAAAACTAATTTTTAAGAAAATTGCGCCATTATTGGTCCCTTATAAAAAAAATTTATGTTATCTGAATGAAGTTTAAAAAAAAAACATGATTATTGTGCTTGAATTATTTTTTTAATAATCCACAAATATAGTCTTCAAAAAATTAAAAATAAATACACTAATGGTCCTTGAAAATATTATATTAAAGAAACAACACGATTAAGTCCTCTCGAAAATTATTAAATTAGAAAATTATGGTTTTGGACCTTGTTCTTTAAAATCCAAAATTATGACTATGTACAGCTCCTCTATATGTAGAGAAGGAATATTTTCTCTAAGCAGAGTTCCCTAGAACCTACTGCATGCAGAAGACCCATTATTCTTCTCTCTGTGAAAGGCATGGAGAAAGAATTGTCTCTCATCATTTTAAACGAGCATATCTATTTCTAAAATTATCTCCCTACATGCAAAGATACATTATTTTCTATAAATATAAACAAACAACTTACCCCCTCCCCCTCGCAATTCTTGTGCTAATGTTATCAATCATTTCATCGTTTTGTGTGCGCTTTTTTTTTCAAAACATGTCATTAGTCCTTTCTTGCTGTTTTTTTTTTTTTTGGAATGAAATTTAATTAAAAATTCAATTTTGTTTAGCAATCGATCTATCAATCAACTAATTAGTTCCGCTGCCATGCGAATATATAAATAACAGAAACAACAAAAATAAATACACCGAGGAGTTGTATCATTGGAATAACATACAATTTCCATCTCCCACCACAACAAGGAATACCAAATACAAATGAATAATTTGTCCTTTTTTGGGGAGGGGGAGGGGGGTTCATATCAATTTTCAAATGAAAATATTTATCAAAAAAATGTCACAGTCGTTGACATTTTACGGGAAATAAGGAAATCATTAAAAAGCCAGAAAAATGATACTTCTAATTAGCTTTGAATCAAAGTGTATATGTATTCCTGATATTATTCATATGATATTAAATTATGCCAATGACGGGTTAGAACGTCATGTCAATTGTTAAATGAAGGCGAATTAATTATGAAAAAAAAATTCTTTTAAGGATAGATAATATACAAAGAGTGCTTCGAAGGTACTTTTTGTATATTTTGTAGAATATTTCTAAAAAATTTACTATGTTTGATGCTATAAAAAATATATTTAATAAGTTAAAAGGTATCAGTCGGTTTTGCTGATGATTATATTCTCAGCCAATGTCTGTTTATTTAACTGTGTTTTGACTGGTGCTATGATTATTCCAACTATCCGAAAGAATCAAATGATTATTTCGCATTATGACCGTTTTGTTATTTGAACATGAAGAGTGGATAAGAGATTTTACGTTTTGGTTATTTACACTATTATAACCTTCGAGGGGGAAGTACCAGAAGGAGAGGACCTATATATCCCATTCTCATACCAGATGTTGTGTAGATAGAATAATTTTTAGACAAGTCCGTGGAAAGTTGGAGCAAAAATCATCAAAATATGGGGAGGTACCGTTATATGAGGGCTATACGTGGATATATACAGACAATGTTCCGCCACTGGATCTAGAACCCATTATGACCTACAAATAGCAGTTTTTAGACAAATCCGTGAAAAATGTGGCGAAATTTTTCAAAATAACAAATATCGGGAGGTACCGTTTTATGGCAGCTATACCAAAACGTGCACTGAAATGTCTAATTTTCAATACCTAACCATCCATTTTTGGAGCTCTACATCAAATGATATGGGCTGAATCGTGATTTCAACACACCTAAAAATTCAAAAATCCACACTTATTGGTGCTTGAAAAAAGTCCTTCAAAAATCCACTATTATTGGCGCTTTAAAAAAGTCCTTAAAAAATTCACGATTATTGGCCCTTAAAAAAAATCCTTCAAAAATTATTTTAAAAAAATCCACGATTATTGGTCCTTGCAGAGAAATACGCCAAAAAATTTGCTGGTCCTTAAAAAAAAACCTTAAAAAATCAACGATTATTGGTCGTCTGGTCCTTGAAGAAAAATCTGTTGAAAATCTGCTGGTCCTTGGAAAAAAAAAATACTTAAAAAATCAACGATTATTGGTATCCTGGCCCTTGAAAAAAATCTTTAAAAATCGGCTGGTCTTTAAATCCGTAAAAAATCAAGGATTATTGGCTGGTCCTTGAAAAAATCCTTTGAAAATCTAAAGGTTCTTGAAAAAATCCTTAAAAAAATGAAGATTATTGGACAGCTGATGCTTGAAAAAAGTCCTTCAAAAATGCACGATTATTGGTCTGCTGTTCCTTGAAGAAAATCTTTCACAAAATCTAAAGGTCTTTGAAAAAAGTCCTTCAAGAATCTTGCTGGTCCTTAAATAAAGTCCTTCAAAAATCCACAAATATTGGTCGTTGTAATAAATGCTTTAAGAATCTAAGACTGCTGGTCCTTGAGAAAAACCCTTAAAAAAATCCACACATATTAGTCAGCTGGTCCTTGTAAAAAAACCTTTAACAAGTCAATG